CCTTCCTTCCAAGGAGTGGCTGGTGGGTTTGAACCGCCAGCCTTCTGGTTAGCAGTCAAGTGCCTTAGGCACTATGCTACCAGAGCTCCTTAGAGTGACTAAAATAAAAAATCAAGTGCTGACAAGAATGTGTAGCAACTGGTACTCTCATCCAGTGCTATGAGAATGGAAAAAGGCACGACTACTTTGATAAACCATTTGGCAATTTCTATGAATTCCAACATACACTTGCCATATACCTGCAGTCCCACTCTTAGTGTATTTACCTGAGATAAATGAAAACATATCCACAGGAAAACTGTATGTGAATGTTTCTAGCAGCTCTACCTGCAATCACTGCAAACTGGAAACAACGCAGCTGTCCTTCAACTGGAAATGGAAAAACAAACTGTGATACATCCATAAAATTGAATACAATATTCAGGAATAGAGAAGAATGGACACATATGTATGATGCATTTACATAGGCAACATACTATATAATATGTGTAATATAATTCCACTTATATGTCATACTGGAAAAGACAAAATTATAGAGACAGAAAGCAGATTAGTGATTGTCAGGATTGCCAGGGACAATCGCTGGTGTTGGGGCATGAGGGAATATTTTTAGGGTGATAAAACTCTGTATCTTGACTGTGGTGGTGTTGGTGACATGATTTATGTGTTTCTCAAAACCCATGAAACTGTCCATGCCTTTGTTGGGCAGTGAGGCCACCACCCTTAATGGGGTGTGGGGCAGAGATCAGGTTGCAGGGAGAGTCACGGCATGATGTCCCTCACATTTTTCCTTCCTAGAACTTGTCCTGGTTTAAAATTGATGGGTCCATCTCCCTGGGTGTCCATTTACTGCTCCCCCCCCCCAGCCTCCTGCACTGAGCGCTTCAGAGGACACTGTGTCTCCATAACTTGGCTGTATGCTTGATCAACACCCAGCCCGTGTTTGGTGAATGCATGAGTGAATGAATGATGGACTAAATGGACAAATCCTGTGGATCAGTTCTACATATTGACATTGAATATCCTTTAAAAATCCCTTTACTGGCAAGAAAGGGAAATCAAAGGCATCCAAATTGGTAAGGAAGAAGTCAAACTATCCCTATTTGCTGATGATATGATCCT